TGCATAAGGTGTATGCATAAAATAACAGAAATATACAGATAACATACACAAAGACACACCTGTAAAATGACCCAGTGGCCCTCTTTAGAGGCTTTTTCCATGGCAAGTTCAGCAACAGACTCCTGGCCTTGTCCTAGAGACACATTATGGAGCTTTCCCAGGTCTATAGTGAAACCCAGCTTCTTACCTAAACATATACACAGAAATACACAAAGGCTTTGTTCACAATGTCTGTTCAAACAGAATTTCTAGGCATATCCCATTCAAATCCATAGTTTTTCTGAACCAGTGGGCCAGGGTTTGACTGGGTCAATATGCAGTACCATAGTCAAAATCATGACACACTCTATGAAAAACAAAACAAAAAAAGATTCTTGCATGAGATGAAAAAAAAATCTTACCTAGGGACTCAACATCTTTTAGGGGGTCCACTCCAGGGGACAAGATGAAGAACACAGGGGAAGCAGGACCACACTCTTTGAATGAGCGTGCAAACTCCATCTTCCTGCTCTCGGTGTACTGTACACCTAGTTTCTCTTCAACAAAGTTCCTACACAAGCAAACGGACACATTTGTTATCGTTTTCTTTGTAGGGATTATTGTTTTTATACTAAGCGTATCCTAACTCCACCCCTAAAGCTAACTTTCATAAAATTTGTATAGTAGGTATTAATGAAAATATTATTTAGTGTGTTTATTAATAGGTTGTTCCAAACCTCTTCGAAACACAAATGAGGATATTTTTAATATTTACTCATTTTTTTGTCCCACCACTGAAAGTCCATGCAACCAACATTTTTAAGATTCAGTACATGAAGACACCGGAAATGTAATATTTAATTAAGACGGTTTAATCCCAGTCTTCTGCAGAGACAAGATCACTTTACATGATGAACAGTTTATTCACATTATTCACATACAAACATAGAGCTAATCAAATACAGTAAACGGGAGCTCAAACATGCTTTCTTGTAGCTAGTTGTTGAATCTCTGATTACCATATTAGATGTGCTCTATGCATGTTGATTAATGTTTATATTGATTCATATCGATTTACATTGATTCATATGGATGACTTTCACCATGTCATTTTGTACTTTTCAATTCATATAAGTTTTGGTTTCACAGACTTGCAGATGGACAAAAAGGTGAGAGAATATTTTAAAAAAAAACTATTTATAGTCTTTTGAAGATAAATGATTTAATTGTCTAATAGGCTTTAAATGACATGAGGGTGAGGTGAACTGACACTTTAATTTGTCTTTCCTACAATGTTTTGTGTTATCTTTAATTAACACATACTACATTATCATAGACTTACCGGACAGCGTATGTCATCCGGTCAGGTCGGAGAGCCCTCATAAGGATGAGTTTCTGGAGCGAACTCTTGTTTTTCCATTCCTGAGGGAGTTTCTCTTTCTCTGGACACTCTGACTCCACCACTTTCTTCCAGCGTTTGGGAGAACCCTCGATGTCCCGGTCCAGACCACGCGTGCTTGTTTTCTCAGAGGCTTGCAGAAAAAGGCTTACCAAAACAAAGTTATTGGGTTAATCTTTTTCACGTTTCCTTGGTTGGTAGATGCACCAGGGACCTGATTATAGCACTTAAAACCTGGAAAAGTCAGATTTTCATGATATGTCACCTTTAAAATAAAGTGCAACCGCTGATTTTTCAGAAGTCATTACTCTGTTGCTATTACAGTCACATGATCCTTCAGAAGTAATTCTTATTTATGCTGATTTAGTGCTCAAGAAACATTTCTTATTTTAGTTTACTATTTTTATTACTATTATTACTAGTTTAGAACAGCTGTGCTGCTTGATATTTTTTGTTAAAATTATGATATATGTTTTTTAGGATTCTTTGATTGACATAAAGGTCAAAAGAAAAGCATTTATTTAAAATATAATTTTTTTGTAACAACATTCAAGTATTTACTGCCACTTTTGGCCAATTTAGTCCATCTTTAGCCCATTAATTTCTTCCAAAAGTATTCATTTTCTTTCTGTTTTGGAGATTTCCCCCAAACCAATGCAGAAGATGGTAAGACCGAAGCATAATCCATCTGATCCACAGCAGTCAGTGAGGAAGCTCACTAGGGTTGGAAGAGAGCTTATGTGGCTCGGTGACAAATATGAATGTCCAAACTGTTGGAGTAAAAATGTTTTAAAAATCTAGATAAAATGAAAGCGCAAAGTTCGTGATGTGACACACAGCCATGGTGCTCATCCATGGTTCTCTCCGTGAGATCACTTTGTGTTTATTGGTTCTTGTCACATGACAAAAGCACTTCCTGCATATTGATAATGGCAATCTGACATTAACCTCCACATCATTCAGCCATATTGAATTTTCTAACAAAAAACGGTTGAAAATAAACAAACCTTCATCTCAATCTCTGCGGCTGTGTGTTTAGTGCTCTCCAGTTTCTCCACCAGAACGTTGTCTCCCAAGAAGTTACTCTCAGCCGCGAAGAGGCGCGTCAGTAACTCATCCTCAAGCTGCTTTAGCTCGATTTTAAATGTGTTCTGCTGTTTAGTCAGCTCTGACTGCAGATACACACAAACACCCATCAGTAACACTCAAAAGGATTTTCAGATCTGACTAAACAAGTACACACACACACCTTGAGATGTTCGAGGTCTGGTCTCTCCAGGTTGACCACCTCTGCGAGCAGCTGGTCCTCAAGCCCGTCCCGTGTGACAGTGAAGTTGATGAGAGTGGTCTGAGCCTGGATCTCAGGTTTATAGTGTGGGCTTGCCAGCTTAGTGTGCAGAATCAGTCGGAAGTCTGGATGGAAATAACATTCCTTATCCCCCACTTTAATACATCTGCAGAGGGGAGAAGAAAAAGCGGAGTCATGAGGGTAAGAGGACTATTTGTTATATTGACATTTTTACTATACCGATACACTTCTTTGTTGTATATTGTGTGGAATGCAGTGTTGTTGTGCATTATTGCTGTGTTGTGGTGGTTTACCTGCCCTTCTTGATGGTGTGTCGGCCCAGCAGTGGATCAATAACTGGTTCAATTGTCTCTTCCAGATTCTCAATCAACACAGGCTCTCCTGAGACTACGGCCTGTTCAATCACATCCACATACCTGAAGCAACAACGACAGAATAAATGTTAATAAAATAAATTACAACATTAAGTACTGTCTTGAAGATAACGACAAATGGCATTACCAATACAATTACTGCCATTTTTAAGTGACAAATACATATATTTATATAAAAAAGATGCAGAACAGGATTTAACTTTATCCATAAGAACTTAACTGTTGTGGTGGTTTACCTGCCCTTCTTGATGGTGTGTCGGCCCAGCAGTGGATCAATAACTGGTTCAATTGTCTCTTCCAGATTCTCAATCAACACAGGCTCTCCTGAGAGGCCGGCCTGTTCAATCACATCCACATACCTGAAGCAACAACGACAGAATAAATGTTAATAAAATAAATTACAACATTAAGTACTGTCTTGAAGATAACGACAAATGGCATTACCAATACAATTAAGTGACAAATACATATATTTATATAAAAAAGATGCAGAACAGGATTTAACTTTATCCATAAGGACTTAACTGAATAAAAATTAGAACAATAAAACCAGAAAAATAAGAATATTAATTATAAATATTCCCAACAATAGTATGGAATATTTGTAAGGTCATTATTTTCACATTGTGTTATGTAAATTCTGCCGTATGTTCATCAAGCTCACCCCTTCTGGCTGAGGTTAATGACCTTCAGGCTGTTGCCATAGCGACTCTTGAGCCACTTGATGCCCTGCAGCTGGGGGTCAATGAGCAGAGGCCAGCGCTCACAGTTGGTTAGTATAGTTGCATTCTGAGTAGATATCTTATCACCTGGCAAACCCTCATTATTCCACTGAGCAATGGTAGCACCATCTGTTAACATGGAGATGGGATCTAAGCCCTCAGTCATTGGAATGGGCACCTGAAAGTCATTAAGAAACATACAAAAACAATTAACAGTGATTAATTTTGTATACTAACATTTCTATCCTTATAAAAGGACTGCATGACTATAAAAGACTTGTCTTGTTCCTCAAGAACAATTACAGACTGTTATAAGGATTGGGAAGGGCCTTCTACACACAACCCACAACCTCAATTAAGCAGGAAGGGTATAAAATGGTAATAAACCTAAACACATTATAAGAGGGGAAAAAATTATAGAGTGCAATGCAAGAGCATAAGGGAGTATCTGAATATATATATATAAATTTTATTTTCATCCAGCATTGCCATTTCATCAGAAGTTTCCACACAAACCCTTAAAGGTTTGCAAACCTCTGTTTAGGAATTTCTGCTGTAAAATATATTCGTTTTATATGTTATGTTTATATATTAAATATATTTATATACAAATTATATGTATATAAATATATACTGTATGTGTGTGTCTTTATATATATATATACATAATAAATATACACAGTACACACACATATATAAACCAAAACTTTTTATGTGATTAATCGCGATTAATCATTGCCCAGCACTAATTTTTATAACTGAAACACAACTGAATGCAAAGAATCAATTTGTTTTAATTCCCTGCAATCTATACTCTTTGAGGTTTCTGAACTTTTAAACAATACACATTTTTAGCATAATAACAGGCAATATCAGTACTCAAGACAAACAGTTTCCATTGCAGATATACACACACCTTCTGGGCACGCAGGTAAGGCATCCAGAGGTTATGAAGTAACTCATGTCTGTATCTCTTTGAGAAGGAGCCAGCGTAAGAGATGAAGGCTGCCGTGAGGAGAACGTCTCCACACAGTGTGGATTCCTGCTCACGGTACTGAGCCACAGTGTGAGCCCAGCGTACGTTTTCTGACTGCAGTACGCATGCATTTTTCATGAAAAAACACCAAAAGAAAAACAGTTTGCATATAGAGTAGAATTTCAAATTTCAAATTAGTATGACAACATAAACATGGAAGTGTGGTCCAAAAGACAAAACCAGTGTAATCTGACCTCTAAACCCTTGACCAGGCGGTTGGCCAGTTGGATGGTGGTGTTGGTGTGGTTCACCTCATCCTGACAACGGAGTTTCTCCGAGGTTGCTTTTTCAAATGCAGCTTTCAGTGTGTCCAAACTACCATCCAACTCCTCCACATTTTACAAACACATTTGAGATTATACAGTACATCTTTGTGAAACACTGATGAGATATTGTGGTGGAGAGAGAGAGACAGCTAGTGAAAGAAACTTACAGCCAGCTTCTTTCTGATAATCTCTAATTTTTCTGCAGCTTCAGCCAGATCAGCGTTTGCCTGAGCCAGACACATCCTTTTCACCTCCACCTCACAGAACACCTGATTAAACCCAAGCACATTTTTAAACAATATCAGAACATCAGACTCTGGAATGACCAACTGTAGAGTGGTTTACAAAGTACTGGATTGCAAATGGATGATTCTTTAACCAATATAAACAGGCTAATAATAATAATAATAATAATAATGGCAGCCTTTAAAACCATCACAGATGACTACATATACTACATACTGTTCAAAAGTTTGGGGTCAGTAAGATTTTTAATCAAGGCTGCAGTTATTTAACCAAAATACAGTAAAAACAGTAATATTGTGAAATATTACAATAGTATTACATACAATATTTTTTTCTATTTAAATAGATTTTAAATGGAATTTATTCCTTTAATGGCAAATCTCACTTTAAATAAATTTAATGCATCTTTGCTGAATAAAACTTTAATTTCTTTAAAAAATCTTCTTACTGATCAAAACTTTTGAACAGTAGGGTATAAATCACAAGAGACATAACAATAATTACAATCAAATTGCAAATGGTCTTTTTAGTTGCACTGAAATGTTCTTGTTCCGAGTACTATGTTATTGTATCATTTATTGATCTAAACAGATTATCAAGTGTTTACTCACATATGTCTGGACAGAGCAGCATAGAGGAGAGAAGCAGAAAAATACACTGTAAATAATACAATCAGAAAACAAACACAATGAGAATGGAGTCACACAACAATACAATGGCAAATAAAACATTAATTCAGTGAATCTGAAGTTCTGGGTATAACAGATTTCCCTATTAACTGTTCTCAGAAACTAAAATCACACGGCCAAACTTCTGACTTTTTGCAAAAGAGCTTATGTATTCATTGTAAAATCTTGCACTTCATGTAAATAGTACTTATACTGTATATACTTATTAATGCTATTGGACTGCACTGGTTCTGAATGATTATGATGGTGTAAGGGATCAGAACCTCATGGAAGCGGATGATGTTAATGACCCAAGCAGAGAGACCGGCCGCTGCAGATGATTTCAGACGCACAAACTCTGGATTAAACTCTGGATCACTCAAATACTCTTCTTTGACCACACGCACTGTGGCTTCAGGGATATGCTCTTTATCAAAATGAATCAGTGCCTGTAAGAAGTCATCCACCTAAACATAAACACAAAGAAAAGGAGTCAAATTACCCATCTTACCTCTTTTCACAACCTGTTGAGTTGCAGTACAGTTTTCCTGCCAAATTATTCATGCATCTAGACAATCAATATTCCATTTGAAAACTCAATCCTCAAGATTCAATAAAAATGTTTTATTCTCAAATGTTGGCCGTTTTTAAAAAATGTCAGGCTTTTGTTTATAGAGGGAATCAGAGGTAAAAGTCAGCTTTCCAAAACTAAAGTTAAATGTCAGCAGAATTAAAATAGAAACATTTGCAAATATGACTCATGAAAACCCTGAGAATAAATCTTAAATGTCAGCTCTTCACAGACTCACTTTACTCATGACAACTTTAGATGCTTTCCAGCTGCGGTCCTTTGGGATACGGCCATTAGGAGACAACAGCACCAAAACAGCTGCAGACACATTAGATACGATGGCAGGAGGATTCGGAAATGTCCGCAACTCTGTTAGGTTCAACTATAGACACACATAAATACACAATTACTCTGGAAAAAAAACTAAACAAAACAAAGCAATTCTGCACATCAAAACAAAACACTTGATTCTGAGTTTGAGAATGGTTCAAAACAGGAGACAAAACACTTTATTGCAAGTACATGCATACAGCACACCCACAAATACACACCCTGTTGAGTGTGTTGAGTGCTGCATTAGCTGCCTGTAAAGCTGGTTCTGCTTTTGCCAGGTCTGCTTCAGTCCCCTGCTGCTGCTTGGTCACTTCTGCTTGGATCGCTTCTACCTGATATTGCAATCATTATTGTACAATCATTACGAGACATTTATGATGTCTTTTAACAGATACATTCACATAAATAGCAATTATTAAAAAAAAAATTAAAGTCATGTGACATTCTAATTCATAAGCATGTGTATGATTTTGTATATTTGGGTGGATATCTGCATGTGTGTGTCTCACTCTTTGCTCCTCTGCATCTGCTACACTCCTCTCCTGACTGAGTTTCTCACTCTGCTGGCCGATTTTAGCGATGAGAGCTTCAGTATCAATGTTTCTTTGTTGCAGCTCCACTTCCTGTGTGGCTAATTTAGCCTTTAGATCCTCCACCTGAAAAAGTGGTCCACATCAACTTTATTTAAATTTAAAAACCTGAAATATAAAATTGAAGATGTCTTTAAGCTCTAGGACTGAGAATATGGTGTAATAATTCAAATTAGATTGAACAATTTTAACGTTAATTGAAATTTTTGTAGCTCTGCAATGCATTCACGCTGCACAGGCAGCCTTGTTTATGCCAAAAGAACAGAGAAATCATTTCACAGAAAGGGTAGATCACATTTTTATAGCTTCCAGTTTCTATAGTTACTACCGTTTGGAAGTGGATTTATATGGAACCCTGTGTGTAGCTTTCAATGTGAGGTTGACCTGTGATGCAGTGGTTACTCTGGAAAAAAAACTAAACAAAACAAAGCAATTCTGCACATCAAAACAAAACACTTGATTCTGAGTTTGAGAATGGTTCAAAACAGGAGACAAAACACTTTATTGCAAGTACATGCATACAGCACACCCACAAATACACACCCTGTTGAGTGTGTTGAGTGCTGCATTAGCTGCCTGTAAAGCTGGTTCTGCTTTTGCCAGGTCTGCTTCAGTCCCCTGCTGCTGCTTGGTCACTTCTGCTTGGATCGCTTCTACCTGATATTGCAATCATTATTGTACACCTATTACAATCATTACGAGACATTTATGATGTCTTTTAACAGATACATTCACATAAATAGCAATTATTTTAAAAAAAATTTTTAAGTCATGTGACATTCTAATTCATAAGCATGTGTATGATTTTGTATATTTGGGTGGATATCTGCATGTGTGTGTCTCACTCTTTGCTCCTCTGCATCTGCTACACTCCTCTCCTGACTGAGTTTCTCACTCTGCTGGCCGATTTTAGCGATGAGAGCTTCAGTATCAATGTTTCTTTGTTGCAGCTCCACTTCCTGTGTGGCTAATTTAGCCTTTAGATCCTCCACCTGAAAAAGTGGTCCACATCAACTTTATTTAAATTTAAAAACCTGAAATATAAAATTGAAGATGTCTTTAAGCTCTAGGACTGAGAATATGGTGTAATAATTCAAATTAGATTGAACAATTTTAACGTTAATTGAAATTTTTGTAGCTCTGCAATGCATTCACGCTGCACAGGCAGCCTTGTTTATGCCAAAAGAACAGAGAAATCATTTCGCAGAAAGGGTAGATCACATTTTTATAGCTTCCAGTTTCTATAGTTACTACCGTTTGGAAGTGGATTTTTATGGAACCCTGTGTGTAGTTTTCAATGTGAGGTTGACCTGTGATGCAGTGGTCAGTAGTTTCTGCAGGCCGTTTTCCAGGCGTTCCATCTTTTGGCTCAGTTCTTTTCTTTTTGTCCCAAGCAAGTTGCCGTAAAGTTTCATGAACTCCAGGAAGCTCTTGGGTGTGGTGTAGTTGAAGCGTTTTTCATTCTGTTGATACTTTATGCTGACTTCATTCACACTAGTGTGAGCGAAAGAGATAAACTCACTGATGGACACTCTTACCACCGGCTAAGGAGAAGGAAAACATGTCGGGTTAATGAATTTGCACTACCGTTCCGAAGTTTAGAGTGCGAACGTTTTTTAATGTTTTAGAAATGCTCTAGAAACATTTCTTATTATTAACCATGTTAAAGTTTTGCTGCTTAACATTTTTGTAGAAACTGTAGTTTTTTTTCAGGATTCTTTTATGAATAAAGTTAAAATTAACAGCATTTATGTTAAAGAGAAATCTATTGTGAAATTATATAAATTGAATGCATCTTTGCAGAATTAAGGTATTCATTTAAAAAAACATATCCTCCTCACTGTCCCTAGTCTCTGTTACCTCCAGGCCAAAGATATTTTGTATAAAAGTGCTGCTGACAGACTGCAATGCATGCTGGGGCCAAGGATGGAACCAGTCAATGGCGGTGCAGTTCACAATAGCCGGAAACTTCCGTGCACGTGTACGAAGAGTGAAGCCAACCGGAGAGAAACACAGCACCACCTACAGTGCCGGAGAGGCATGACATCAGAGTGACATTTAAATTTTTATTCATAATATATACTTAGGATGCAGTTTTCTAAATAAGGAAACCGACCTTAAGCTGTCTGCGTATCCGATCAATGAAGAAATTCCAGCAGTTTTCACGTGTGTCCAGCAGACCAAGCGCCCTCAACTCCACTCGAACAGAGGTGACAATCATATCAACCTCTTCCTCACTGAATAGGTCAGGTATATCTCCTACACACACACATATATGCACACAAAAAAAATTAGAGCTACTGACAGGAATGTGAGGAAGGAGAAGGAAATGTGAGAGGAGTTTGCAATGTGTACCAGATGCTAGCATGTCGTTGATCAGCACCAGGAATCTTTCATCAGGAATCTGGGCATCTGTGTGCAGGAAGACGGTGCCAATATTCTTCACTCCCACCTTTATGTACAGTGCAGCGATATCACTCTACAAAGAAAGAAGAAAAGGTTGGAAGTAGAAGGGAAAACTTTTCACGATATTTCATATTAAGCTTCAAATAAAAAGAGATCATTGAAATTCAGTGTGTGTGTGGGTGTATTACCCTCAGGTCGCTGATGCCATAACCCTTTCTCAGTGTGATCTGAAATACTTCCAGGACGCTGAGAAAAGCAGCCAACCGACACAGACTCTGTTTCCCGCTACCACCTACTCCAATCAGCAAGGCATTCCCCACAGGAGACTCAAGAATACGACTTATCCTACAGCTACACACCAACACACACGCACACCAATAAGGCTTCAGTTGCAGCACTTTCCACAAACAGGGTGCAAAGTAAATTTAAAAATGAAATTTCTCAACAAAGGAGGTGCGTAACCTTCAGAATTCATGTTTTTTGATTGTCAACATCAGGAAGACAAAGTAAATTTTATATGAGCTGTTTTATGTATTATTTATTTAATATAATGTATGTAAATTCTGTTAAATAAAAACCCTGGGTTTTAAAACCCTGAATTATGTGATTTTGTTATTTTCTAGCCAGCTTACATGTGTTGCATGGCTTCTTCAAACAGCACCAGGTTCATGTCAGAGTACAGCTCATTGTAGTGCTCAAGAGCATCCATCAGGGTCTTCTGAAGCTTCTCCAGGTCAGTCACCTGTGCGTAACGTGGCTCACCCACACCGTGAGCGAAATGGGAGTAGATCAATGGCTGGTTGATAAAAATAGACTCATCTATACCCTACAAAGAGAAAAAGAAAGCAAAAGATTACTTTTGATAAATGGTCTTCCAGTTCACTGGAGGCCCCAACAGGTTTTTGAGAAGTTATGCTCACTTCAAAGTATCTTTTGCCTGTGTCTAGCAGAATCTTGTTGAACAGCTCTACGTCTTTCTCCTCCATCAGTTTGTCTGAATACACACGAGAAGACTCATGCAGCCATAGGTGAACTAGGTCTATAGGGTACCGCACTTGCTCTGGCAGAGCGAAGAGAATTCCCTACACACACACAAAACATAAGAACACAGAAAACAGCATGTCAACACTAATCTGTATAAAGTGACTGAACTACCAGCAGTGTAATATATACAGTGGCATAACTAGGTCACTGTATTCATACATATGTCCATAGTACTCAGTAACTGCATAAATGCACACACTTTAATCTGTTCCATAGACACATACCTGGAAGATGTTTGAAATGTCTCTGAGGTTGAAAATGTAGTGGAACCGAATGGCTGTGGGAAGGAAGTTCTGGCTCATTTTCTGATGCAGGCAGATGGCAGCCTGGACCAGTGTGTTGGTCATGCGACTAACACCAAAACTGTAGCCAACCTGCTGGAAATGACCACTCAGAATGCTGCTGTATATAGTGCTCAGAGCCTCCGCGCCAGGGAAATGTACAGCAAACACTGAGAAATGCCTCTGTCAGTGGAAAGAATAAAGAGAGAAAGAAGTGTGGAATGTAAAACCATGTGTGTATTTGAACAGGACTTTTCTTTGTTTGGTAAACACCAGTTAAATTGTAAGGCAGGCTAACTCTCCTTCCAGGTCGGACATGATGGTTTTTATAGTTACCTATAGTCTACCTTTCTGTATTGTGCTGGACTTGACTGCAGCCTTCAACACTGTGAACTCCCAAATATTCCTTTATCAACTAACCACCAGAGTGCCTCAGGGTTCAGTGCTTGGCCTTCTCATTCTTGCAATATACACAACATTACTGGGGTCTACCATCAGGCACAGCATTTTATTACCACTGCTACACTGATAGATCATCACAGTACCATTCAGGTCAGCCAGAAAACAGGAAGTATTGTTTGATAACCAGTTGAACTTTACAGACCACATAATAAAATCAAACCCCTCCTATTTGAGAATCTTTTTCACTAGGCTCTTTTCATGTCTACACTTGATACTAAACTGGATATGAATTGGTTGTTATAATTACATCTAGTCAAAGGTGAAATATTGCTATGGTTACTTTTAGATGAGGGCTGGATATGTATGGGTTGTTATGGTTACCTGTAGTCGAGGATTAACTGAGAAGCTTCCCGCTGTTGGGTTCATGCAGGTGATGTACTGACAGTTATGAATCTCCTTGAGTACTAGTCTCTGACGGTCATACCTACAAAATACAAACATTTAAGTTAATCAAAACATTTAAAAATATGACTGATTCATATACAGGCATTGATGCGCATGTTTTCTCATACCAGTGGGAGTAGTCCAGGTGCTGTCTGATAAGGGTATGAGGCTGAACGGTGCCATAAGCATCTACCTCAGGCATGTTCATGTCATCCACAAAGTAGATGAGTTTTTTAGTGCCAGGAGGAGCAAAATTCCGGCCTGCCTTCTTCTCCAGGGGCTTCTCCAGCACACCTACAATTAAACAACCAGAATGGAAATAATGCTTGTTGGTGTTTGTGAGAGTATACAGTGTGCCCATAAACAGCTTCCATTATCTCACTCACGTTGTAACATGGCTGAGGTCGTGTAGTAATTGAAAGGTACTTTCGCGACCATGAATTCCTCTTTGAGTTTGGCAATCTTATCCCAGACCAGGATAGTTTTCCCTACACCAGCATTTCCTACCAACATCACTGGTTTCCCCTTCTGCAGAAGTAACTCAATGAAGTATGTCAGGCAGATTGTCTCTGCCGAGTGAACCAATACCGTCTGTACACATGGACAAAATGTCAAAAGGACAAAATGTTTACTATGTAACAGTTAAGCGAAAGAAGCAAATCTTTACAGTTCTTTGATTATTTCTAGGTTTACCTTAAAAATATCTTAAGTCATTAACATCAATAACATGATGCAGAAACACTGATGAAAAACAAAACATCTGAGGTCGCTGTGACTTTAAAGGCCTGTTCACAACAAGAAAAATAACTATGAACATAAAGTTTTTAAAAAATCATCTTAACTAAAAGATTAGTTGAGTCCACACCAAAATTATAATGATAATGACAAAGGAACGATATCACTGGAATAATATCCAATGAAAAGACACTGATAGGCAATCAAAAGCCTTCCTACTACTAAGTTATAGTTATCACTCTTGGAGAGAATGGGCCTTAAAGGGATAAAAGTACATTTTTGGTTGAACTATAAGATTTTTCAAGAAGTCAAACTCTGATAAATTGTTTTATGAAAACAATATATAATACAGACACATACTGCATTTTGTGCTTGTTTCAAAACTGACCTGCAAAGGGATGTCAGGTTCCAGCTCAAAGGGAGGTGTGCGTTCACTCCACGGAGTGAACCGTTTGGTGTTTGGGTCGATGTAGTAATCAAACACTGAACCCTGAGAGGGAAACTTCACGGCTCTCATCTCCTTACACCACCAACGACTGAACTCTGAACGATAGTCTATTAGCTGACAAGAAAAAATGAAGAAACAAAAAAATGAAGAAACAAAAAATAGAGAGAGAGAGAGAGAGACTCACAAAGTGAAGATCACATTAGATATGTGACTTATAGTAAACATGGTACATTAATTTTCAGTACTAACATGGTCCTGAAATAGTGCCCCTCCAAAGGCCCAGACACATGCAAACACAAAGTAGAGCTCGTAGAGCTCACGGGGAGAGTCCGGAGGGGTGTTTTCTTCGGTTAGCAAGCAGTCCAGCAGACAACACAGCGTCTAATACACCCAAAGAACACCCATACTTTAAAGTTTCAGAAAAGTTTGCTATACAAAAATGTGTGCTGGATTGTGTGTCTCTTACCTGTACCATGCTTGTCTCAGGTATAGGTGTGATTGTCTTAAGGTTGCATCTGACCTGCTCCAGACAGTAGGGAACATACTTATCAAACAATATCGTGAGATTTGCTCGCTCAGATTGGGCCTGACGGGTGTCTATCCAGCTTGTCACATACCTGTCAATCAAAATGTGGGGTTGAGTGACACAAACACAAATTGCAGTGTTCAGTATAATATCAGTGAGGTGCATACTGTCACTTACAAACTCCAGCCCAGATCCTGAGGATTCACGTAAAGAATTCCAGCCCTAGATACTGTAGCCGGGGTTGCAGCCTTCAGGTGGCTGATCTCAAACAGTAAACGCATGGAGGGGGTCAGTGATACCCGCTCATTACTGGCCAAGGTAAGCACCTAATATATACAAACATCACATACACACATTAATTTAAACAATTGCACAGTATTTACATGTATTATTTACACGGGCGTTATTGTTTTATATCATGATGACCACCTTATTATCATCCATGACAGTGTTAAGTGATTCAATCCACATGGGGTCGATGTCTCCATCTAGAACAATCCACTTCGGCCCATCATGGGATATAGCAGAGAGTTCTCTCATAGTGGAAGAAAACAGACCTACAACACCCAAAGAACTGCAGTCACACAAAAACCATCTTGCACATTTTTATACACACATAAAATGGCAAAAAAAAATTGAACACTTAATCTACAAATAAAGTATTATTGTCATTGCATTAGACAACAAAATATCTTATCATTGACCTACTGCTCTTAAATTAAGCTCCTGTAATTATACACTACTGTTCAAATGTTTTTTGTTAAAAACAGTAATATTGTGAAATATTATAATTTAAACAACTTTTCTATTTTAATATGCTTTAAAATGCCATTTATTTCTGTGATACCAAAGTTGAATTTTCAGCATCATTACTCCAGTTTTCAGTGTCACGTGATCCTTGAGAAATAATTCTAATATGCTGATTTGCTGCTCATTAAACATTTCTTATCAGTTGTTCTGCTTAATATTTTTATGAAAACTGTTATACATTTTTCATGATTCTATGATGAATAGAAAGTTCAAAAGAACAGCATGTAATTGAAATAATAAATATTTTGTAACATTATAAATGTCTTTTTTTCACTTTTGAACAATTTAATGACTTGTTGCTGAATAAAAGTATTAATCTTAATGACCCCAAACCTTTCAAAGGTAGTTCAATCACCCCATCACCAAACTTAGCATTTATATAAAATGTTTAGATTCAAATTAAAATCATATATTGTGCCTTTATGAATCAAAGGTCCCAACCATGTAGTTTATTTTAGATCTTGATGAGACACGTTTTCTCATAGCAATAGACAAACACAACACACACTCAAAAGTAGAGTGAAACAACTGCACATAAACGCAAACACACCACAGCTGACAGCTGTCTACAGCGATGAACCTGAAGCGAAACACTTCAATAAACACACACACCCACACATACCGTCTTTCCACTCCCGTGTAGCTGGGTGCAGGAAGCCAAACAGCTCATCAGTGGTGACAGCTTTAGGGTTGATATCAGTCCAGATGGGCTTCAGTTTCATGTTAGAGTAGGTCTTATGCAGCGTCTTTAGAATCTGACCCACAAACAACCAAATAAGTCATAAATAATTAGTTTACTGAAACAGCAACATGATCCACTAAACACATTTGAGCTGGCTAACAGTCTCTTTGAATATCATGCATTGTGTAAGAAAAAAAACAACAAGCAGCAGCAAATACATAGAACAAGTTATAAACTCAAGAGGTCATCAAAACCTTAAATGAACTGACCTGACTTTTTCCTGTTCCAGGTCCGCCCACAACAAAAACAGAGTGTCTCACTGCCAACAGCTCCTCCAGCTGGGTCACCTGAGAGAGGAAGAAGAGATAAGAAACAGAGAAGTTGTGCAAGTAATGGGGATCTATATCCAAAAACATGAAATGTCAAAACATTTGAACATTTCTCACATACAACACACACCTTGAGTATGAAGTTCTCCTCTGGCTGCAGGTGAAGTTCAGCGACCGACCGGCGCACATTCTGTTCAAGCTCTTGGTCTCTTTTGCGTGGGATGTCCAGAAGAGGAAAGAGATCACTTATCAGGCCCAAGAATATGGGCACGTCACTTGTCACAACCTTCGGCAGATTAAAGTCTCGTAGAGCACGCATTAACACCTGAAAAACACACATACACCACATTACATTAAACTGAGTATGTTTTAAATATAAAAAGCGACAAACGAAATACATCACATCTAATCTACCAGTCTAATGAGCACCTGCTCTTCAGGTCGGCTCCTGTCCTCCCTCTTCAGTGAGCCAGCAACAACCAAGACCGACTTTATGGCCCTCAAGCCCCAGTCATAATGATCCTACAAGAAACAATGATCTTGTTTGAAAGATCACCCAATACAGTGGTCTAAAATACTCAAGAGCATTAGGTGTGTTTATGTATGAATGTGTGTGAGTGTGGGTACCTGTTTGGAAAGCAGCTCTTTGCAGAGTGTATAGAGGCTGATGAACTTGCGTGCGAGCAAACGTGCCTCTAAAAAACCTTCGGCCACCAACATGATCTCACAGATCAACTCGTAATCAGGAATCACCATTGCACATGGCCTGACACACGGAGACAGATCTCATGTTCACAAAGATCTATTTTTCACACATGAACATCTGAAATTCCAATATTATTGTCTATTTTCATTCAGTTCAAAGCAAAACCAGAGACTGAACCTGAAAAGTGCTTTAAGGTTCTCTGGTAGTTCAGTTCTCCCGGCATATCCAGGGTTCAGAGTGATGAAGATCCCAACTGTTGGCCTCAACTCAATCTCCTCCCCCAGGAAGTGAAACCTGATAAATGGAATGGAATGGTATGATATGGTACAGAATGGAATGGAATGAGATGTTGTAAGATGGAATGGAAAGGAATGGCATGGAATAGAATGGAATGGAAAAGTGTGAGATGTGTGAGACAGTAAGATTTGATCTAACAGGGTGAGACGAAATGATGGGATGGAACAGGATTGGATAGAAGGGATACAGATTGGAATGTAAAAGAATAGAACGTTATAGAACAAGACATGGTACAACTAGATGGTTTGGAATGCCGTGAGATGGAATTTGTATGAAACTGTATGGAAAACAATAGAATGAGATTTGAAAGGATGGGGAGAATTTGAAAGGGACAGGACAAGATCGGATGGGAAAGAGATGTGATAAAACGTAACATTATGGAACAAAACAGGATTGTGAGATAGTGAGATAGATGTGAGATAGACCGGAATAGAATACGATAAGGGATGGCACGGTATAGGATGAAAAAGTATGAGACAGAAGAATATTTGAGATGATGGGAATATGATGGGGGAGATGGAAAGGAACAGAAGGGATACAGGAATGGAGTAAATACATGATGGAACATGACACAACTGAATGGTGTGGAATGGTGTGAGATGGAATTTGTATGGAACTGTATGGAAAACAATAGAATGTGAGAGAATGGTTTGAGATGGAACTGAGGTGGGAAAGAGATGTGCTAGAACAAAACATTAGAGAACAGGAAATTGTGAGATGGACTTGACCTTTGTTTCTTATTGCGGACTGCATCCTGAATGGTTTTCACCTGCACAGCGACCACAGACAGAACCTCCACTGCAATCCTGTTAAACTCATCAAAACAACCCCACACTCCTGTTTGGGCCAACCCTTTATAGATATTACCTATGGACTGAAATAGAGAGGAAGAAAGAGAAAGAAAGAAATGCATTAAGTAAAGAGAGGTGTGCGAATACTGTTCCTCAGGCCGATGTATTGTGTTCTGCAAAACCTTGTAGTCCATTTGCTCTGAGCAGTTGAACACATAGACCATGATGCCGAGTGATCGGCCTAGGTCTTTGGTGGTTTCTGTCTTGCCAGTTCCAGCCGGACCAGAAGTGGCGCCACTCATGGTGAGGTGCAGAGACTGAGTCAGAGTGATGTAACATCTGCCAGGTACAATAATCAGCATAGTCAATTAACGACAGTAGCTGACAAATCTGATCAGTAACTATGTGTGATACTGACCGGTCAGTGAGTGGTGTTATGACCAGTCTGTTGGTATTCCCTAGATACTCGTATGAGAACTGAAACTGTGCATCACAGATGTTGATGTAACAGTGCTTCTGTTTCTCATCCCATCGATGCCGTAACTGTGAAAGCCACGCAAACGCCTGTCCACTGGTGACCTAGGACACAGGACATTATGATTTTATCGTATTTCTTCTTTCCAAACGCCTATTTAAAACTACACCGAACACCGAGTTACTGGTTTTATTACCTTCTGAGATATGAGTTTAGCAACTACATCACGAGCGTGGACATCAATAGTGCAGATGGTCATGATCTTCTGTCGGTCTCCAGGGGTGAGGTCGCCCAGTAGCATGTTTATCAGAGAATTCAGCTGACTGATCTAAAGTCAGTCACAAACAAGTCATTTTCTCAGATATCAACATAAATGACATTAGTTAGTGCTTTTGTATTTTCATTTACCTGTTTTCGGTTGTAGTCTTTCAAGGCAGTCTCAAAACCCTCCTCCACCCTCTCAAAGGCAATGCCCACATCTGTTGCCCACCAAATTTGACTGCCAGTCAGTGCTACCTGAGAACCAAACATATACAAATGGACAAATGTTTGAAATGAATCTTAAACTGCCCTGATATAACATGATTGTTTTATGTTAATCCAACCTTTAATCAGTGATCTAAAATCAATGTTCTTTATATGATTGTTTTCATATGACAAGAATAAAGTTGTAAAGAATTTAAATTCTGATTGTGATTCATTTTACTGATATTTTAATGAATGGTTTTAAATGGTTCAGTTAATGGTTCTTGTAGTATTTCAGAAAGGAAGAAATTCAATAATTAGTGCATTAACTTTCCTCCGCAGAATACAGAGAAAAACAGAACAGATATCCAATAAATGTAACGGAAATCCCCCCAAAAAATTGTATTTAACTTTTTCCTTTTCTTCATTTTCCAGTATGACGAAAGTATTAACTTGCAGTTAAGTGACTGAGTCAGATACATTTATAAACTGCTATGATTCACCCATAAGTGATCCCCTAAAAAGAAGCTACTCAGTAAAAGTCAATCATTTGGGAATCTAACCACAATGGTTGGACTGTATGTTTTTTATTCACTAAAACTAACCAATTCATAAGAGTCATTCGTTTTGGAATTACACTACACTGATGCAGAAATATATTTCATCTTGTACAAACAGTATTTTAGTACAGTGTTCCATCCATATCTGTGGAAATCATGCCATTCTGGCATTTTTAAAAACAAACTGATTGCAAAAGACACCTCAACCTTACAAATCATCTTTTATTTGATTGCTCATACACTTGATTTACTATAATTATTTTTGTGTTTTTCATTTTTAACATTAGATAGCAAGTGTATGATTAGGTTTAAGTGAAGCTTCCGCTGAAAAGGGTGAGTTCAAAACTGTTAAAGTTTACCTCAAAGCACTCAAGTCTGTGAAACACTAACTAAAATGGAGCCAAACACACCTGCGCTGGGTGGTCAAAGAGCCACTGCTCTCGTGGCTTGTCTTCATACGCTGCCACAGCTTCAGAGATCTCCTGGCGAACAGTGGAACACATGGCCTTCTCCAGAGCATTCAGCCAACACTCGGCCTGTTACATGACAGACAGCAGACAGACACAATGTTTCTCAAACACAGCATTGAAAGATGAAATGTTGTGTGTGTGTGTCATTGTGTCTCACCTGTCCCTCACACACACAGGGCTGTGAGAAGGGCACATACTCTCCCTCTCTACTGTACATTCCTAAGGCAACAGGTGTTTTGGGATCCAATCCTCCATTATCTTCCTCTTCTTTAAAGCTGAGATCAGCCAGATTGTCAAAGAGCTTCAGCAAGTGTCGAGTCACCTGTGCATTATACACACAAACGAATTAACACAAACATTCTTTAAAAGGTAAACACACATAGAGGACTTTTATTTTGTACCAATGCAGTGTATTAATATAACAGCAACCTCTCTGGGCTGAGTTCCCTTAGAAACTATTTCCAGCAAATCACTAGCTGAGACGAAGTAAAAGCGTGGAAATGTCAAACGCTTTGTCTCCAAATACTCAGCCAGAGCCTTCTCGCACACTGACAATCTGCAATACACATATACAGACACATGCAAATATAATTCTTCATGTTTTACAATAATCTTTTATGGTGGAGTATTAAAAGTCATTCACACTGACAGTTGTTTGCAATGGCAAAGCATCCAAAAGTTAATGTTCAATGAGAGCTTAACATACACATTACCTTTGCTGAAGAGTCTCAAGTTGCTCCAAGAAGCCTGGCTGGTTAGCGACTTTTATCACATTATCAGTCTCCACGACACTGGTCATTAAACTCTGAAACAACATTCTGTGTTAAAACATTTATCTCCCTGGCAATTACTTATCTCCCTGCATGTTCTCTGTCACAATACCTGGAAGTCCTGATGGATGCCCTGAAACCGCTCTGCATCGTGGGCCAGCTGGTTCCGGATGTCCTCAGAGTTGGTAAAAATGCTCTGGAGGTGAGCCCAGGTGCGCTGAACCGCCAACCATGTGCCAATGACCAGATCAGCTACCACCAGCTTCCGCTGCCAGCCGCTCACCTCCACCATGAAATACTCCACATACTTACTCATGAGAATATTCTGCAACTGAACCTGAGAAACACACACAACTGAATTTAACAGAATTTACCTGAACTGAGCCAAACTGAGCTGACTGGAACTGCACTACATTGATATGACTTTAACGAATCAGAACCACACCAAACTGATCTGATTTGAATTTGACTGAACTAAACTGATCAGAACTGAACCTAACAGACCAGATCCGATCCGATTATAATCAAACCAAACTGAACTGATCTGAATGGAACTTAAATGAACTGATCGAGCCAAACTGAACTGATTGGAACTAGACTGATCTGAACTGATCATAACCAAACATAACTGATTCAAACTGAACTAAATTGAATTGAGATAAACTGATCAGAACTGAATTGAATCAAACTAATTGGAATTAGAATTAGACTGATTTAAGCTGATCCTAACCAAACTAAATTGTAAACAGAACCTAACTAGCCTGAATAAAATGAACGTATATTTAAGCTGAACTGATTGGAACTGATTTCTGCTAAACCCAGCTACCTGGTTGTCCTCCAGGGTTTCAATGAGGTTTTCATCAGCCTTGAGCAGAGGTGTTCCAGTACTTGTGTGTGTCTCATAAGACAGAGACATCATGGACCATGTCTGCTTGATCTCACCCAGAATCTGCACACACAACATTTTATTGTGACCTGAAATGCCTCAGAGAGTTTCTCAGAAATGCTTTCAATCTCCTTCCTGTACCTTCTCAATTCCCATCTCTTTAACTGCTTTGTCCACAATGTTCTTCACTTCCTCCTCCACACGGTGGAGCTGCAGCTCTAAGAGATCACCAAGTGTGGCGTTCTCATCCATCACAAAACTCACCTACAAGGACAAAAAGAGGGATATTCCTCTATTCCTCTATTGCCATCTCTTTAACTGCTTTGTCCACAATGTTCTTCACTTCCTCCTCCACACGGTGGAGCTGCAGCTCTAAGAGATCACCAAGTGTGGCGTTCTCATCCATCACAAAACTCACCTACAAGGACAAAAAGAGGGATTCCTCTATTATTTTTCTTTATCACTCAGCTGATATTTATTAGTCAACCGTTTTGTTCTTTCTAAAGAGCAAGCAATGTTAGGTTATGGTTGTGCTGTGCTGGTTTCTGTTTACCCCTGTTGTGCGCATGAGCTGTTGCCAGTGTCGTTCTCTGACAGCAGAGTTTTGAAGTTCGTTAACAGCTCTCAGTGATGTCAACAAATTCTTAACGATGGATTCCAGACCGTTGTAGACATCCCACGCACGCACCTCTTTGTCCAGAGTCTTCATCTCCTACACATACACACAAATATACAGGCACTCCGATTCTATGATAATTCGTCACAAAGCAACGATAAACATACATTTACAAGGCCCCATTTAATTTATTTTGACTGATATTTGTCATAAACTTCATCCAATGACTGCATTCCATTCGCATTGTGTGCATATGGTGAACGTTGAAGAAAGACAATTTTAGTATTTAAACTGTACCTTAGCAAACCTTCTGAGCTCCATATCCATCTGTTCCACATTGATCTCCTTCCATGGAGTCTTAGTCCAGTCTGAGATGCTGGACTACATCACCCATCATTCCCAAGAGGATGCCAACCAGAGGAGAACATTGGGACAAAATTTTAGAAAGACCATGACTAACTTCAAATGACTTTTTCTGTATGTGTGCAAGTTGGTTATTAGGAGAACTTTGTGCTGTAGATCCTTTGTGTAGTAAAGATTACCTTAACAAACATAACCATATCCCAGACTGCTTTAACCAGGATGATGTCTGACCGACACTGTCGAAGTTGTTTGTAGTCAGGGAAACTGACTTCGAACAGATTGGCTGTTTGTTGAAGCTTAGACATCTCATTCTCTAAATGAGCCACTGCACGATTCGTCTACACACAAACACAGATACAAACAAAGATATTTTGAAAGGTTTTATGTCCACCTGAAACCAGCCACAGAATACTCTCTTCTCCTCTAACATGCATACCTTCTCGTAAAGATCCTCAAACTCACTGATCTAATGAGAAATCAGTGAGAGAGAAAAAAAAAAGTGAGAAATTATAGTAGATCCAGTGGCCTTTGCATACTTGTGTAATTTGTTACGCAAAGAAAATTAGGTATTTTCCCATTTTCGTCTCACATTTTAAAAAAAGGGTCATTGAGAGATTAAATATATAAAGTCAAATTGTCAAAAAGTTATGAAGAAATATTAACTAATTCGTAAAGTCAAAATATTTTTTTATTCTGAGATGAAAACAGGCTTCTATAAGTGTCATGTATTTAAATCCCACTACATCACCCATCATTCCCAAGAGGATGCCAACCAGAGGAGAACATTGGGACAAAATTTTAGAAAGACCAAGACTAACTTCAGATTACTTTTTCTGTATGTGTGCAAGTTGGTTATTAGGAGAACTTTGTGCTGTAGATCCTTTGTGTAGTAAAGATTACCTTAACAAACATAACCATATCCCAGACTGCTTTAACCAGGATGATGTCTGACCGACACTGTCGAAGTTGTTTGTAGTCAGGGAAACTGACTTCGAACAGATTGGCTGTTTGTTGAAGCTTAGACATCTCATTCTCCAAATGAGCCACTGCACGATTCGTCTACACACAAACACAGATAAAAGACATTTATACATGCACATTTAAACAAAGAATGTAAGAATAAAACCTATTTAAAGCATGCATGCTCACTCAGACATAAAAGAATGGTGAGAGCACCTTGTCAATGAGTTTGTACGGCTCCTGCAGGCTGATGAAGAATATGGACTCAGTGCGGAACTGTTCCCTGAATTCATGCTGTTTAATCTAGGAAACAAACCACAGATGCTCAGCAACATCTCAACAATAGGATTTTTTCCCCACTGGCTTTGACATAAATTGGTCCTAAAACAAAAATAATACTTCCTTTATGCAACATTTTTATATATTTATAAATATTTAAGTTAAGCTTCAAAACTGGATTACTCATTGACGCAAGCTTAAAAAGTTTATCATGCTGATGATTTTGTGTACTTTTCTATTCACAGTTTTTACTGATTTCAGCCCCTCACCTCAAACTGAACACACTTCCTGCGGATGACAGCAACTTCATTGGCCTGGAGAGGAGCAACCTCATGTTTTACTGTAAATGCCACCTTCTTGAGATTCTTCCATTTCTCTGGCAAGGACTGTGAAACCACACGGGTATGTGAGGCGGTAGTGTGGACAGAAAAGTAGCAGAATCAGATGCATGTAAGTGAAGTTACCTCCAGCAGTATGTAAACATGCTCAGGTAGCTGTTGGTTGTAGGTTTTGAGCAGGTTCGAGGTGGCTTTGAGGGGTTTGAAATGCTGCTCTGTGCTCAGCTGTCGGTCTCTGATGGCCATCAGGTGGCCCATGATGTCCACCAGTTTGCCATAATCCCCATTGGTTACAGTCCTTGCCAACCCAATCTCTGTATCCTCAATAAATGATCCCAGCTCTTTAACACTGAGACAGAGAAAGATGTGATTAGTCATAGTCACGCTACATTCATATAATTGTTGTACTTGAAACATACATGATTTGCAATGCTTTGCACTAGTATGATTTAATGTGGAGGTTCTTTTGGGGAAATCGATAATAAAAACAATTTCTGTCAGTTGTAAGGCAATGTCTGAATAAATATTACCTTGCAATAACATGGTTCAGTAAGTGTTCCTTAAACATCCAGCTCCATTTCTTAATGATGTTCATCAAAGATATTTTGAAAGGTTTTATGTCCACCTGAAACCAGCCACAGAATACTCTCTTCTCCTCTAACATGCATACCTTCTCGTAAAGATCCTCAAACTCACTGATCTAATGAGAAATCAGTGAGAGAGAAAAAAAAAGTGAGAAATTATAGTAGATCCAGTGGCCTTTGCATACTTGTGTAATTTGTTACGCAAAGAAAATTAGGTATTTTCCCATTTTCGTCTCACATTTTAAAAAAAGGGTCATTGAGAGATTAAATATATAAAGTCAAATTGTCAAAAAGTTATAAAGAAATATTAACTAATTCGTAAAGTCAAAATATTTTTTTATTCTGAGATGAAAACAGGTTTCTATAAGTGTCATGTATTTAAATCCCAACAAAATATATATTTTAATATTAACTCGATGACTGGCAGATACCTGTTCTCTGAAGTTCTGCAGTTTGGGCGGATTCTTGGGCAGCTCATAATCTGCATAAAGCTCCGCCTCCTCAGCAGAGAGGGCGTGTCCATAGAGCAGAAACTGCCTCATGAACTCCACCCTGTCTCCGGTCCAGAGATAACGATAGGAATCAAAGGAATGTTGGAATTCTTTGACCTTAGCAATGGCCACACGTGCACGGTATCGCACCAGCTGAGCCAGCTCCACCAGCTCAGGTGTAGAATCTATATCAGACTAAGAAATAACAGACATGGTCAGACATAAGTCATGTCATAAAGAATAGTTTTAAATCTTTACAGAAATCACCAGATGGTTTATCAGACGACAGGCTTTACTGGCAAAACCAATCATTCTCTGATGAACTTGCTATAAATGTTCTAATTAACCATTCAACTAAAATGATCCTACCTTGTAAGTCTCAGACTGTTTGTTCTTAGCCACTCTTTTTATGAAAGAAGCCATTTTAAAAATATCTGACACCATCTGGTCGATGATATCATAGAAGTTTCCCTTCTTGGAGAAACTGAGCGAGGGGTGAAAGATCATGTCAGAGGTGAGGGTCAGCTGAACTTCAAAGAGGGGAGAAATGTGGAGCGCTAGGTCTGTGTTCTCAACTAAGTACTGCAAGGAACATCGAACAGCACTGCAGAACCCAGTAAGAATGCTTCTGTCCACATGTTCTGTGTAGCACTGCCAAGCCTCTGAGTCCAAATCAGCACCAAGCAGCTCAGCATTCTCCTGAAGAGCAAAGAAAGAAATCAAGTAAGAATCCGCTAGAAATAAAATTCCGCTAGAATAGATAACCTACAATTAAAAAAAATAATTAATGAATTAATGCATGAATTAATGTGAATTTCAGGTGTTCAGTTCCAGTGGGATTTTAATATAGATTTCGCCATTTTGTTTATATCATTTTTAAATATAGACAAAAGTAATCCATATGAATCCAGTCCATCCAGAAATCCATCATGAAGGCATTTTAACTTTAAACTGTCCTTTCCACACAAAATATCGGCCTATAATCCATAACAATACTTACTCCAGTAAAAAAGTCTGTCCTCTGTTGTCCTTTCACATCAAAATCCACTGACATGTATAAACCGTGCTTGATCTGTGCATATTTCTGATTCAGACGAGATGACTTTTCCACTGAAGAAAGCAATATTATGGACAGAGGACTCGTATTTTAGCCAGAAGCAACAGTTTGAAGATAAAAAACACCTTAATGATAGATTTGTTTGTTACAACCACATAGAATTTCCACTTCACAAGACATTAAATGATGGACTGGAGTCATGGGGATTACTTAAAGATTACCGTGATGTTTTTATCAATTGTTTGGATAATGCATGAATTAATGTGAATTTCAGGTGTTCAGTTCCAGTGGGATTTTAATATAGATTTCGCCATTTTGTTTATATCATTTTTAAATATAGACAAAAGTAATCCATATGAATCCAGTCCATCCAGAAATCCATCATGAAGGCATTTTAACTTTAAACTGTCCTTTCCACACAAAATATCGGCCTATAATCCATAACAATACTTACTCCAGTAAAAAAGTCTGTCCTCTGTTGTCCTTTCACATCAAAATCCACTGACATGTATAAACCGTGCTTGATCTGTGCATATTTCTGATTCAGACGAGATGACTTTTCCACTGAAGAAAGCAATATTATGGACAGAGGACTCGTATTTTAGCCAGAAGCAACAGTTTGAAGATAAAAAACAACTTAATGATAGATTTGTTTGTTACAACCACATAGAATTTCCACTTCACAAGACATTAAATGATGGACTGGAGTCATGGGGATTACTTGTAGATTACTGTGATGTTTTTATCAATTGTTTGGACTCTCATTCTGACGGCACCCATTCACTTCCCTGCTTCAGAGTTTTAAAATTTGTCCCTCTCAATGTGTTGAATCAAGCAGTGAAGCCAACACCTGCACAAGCTCATGTATCTTCTCTCCTGTGCGAGCGATGAGAGCATATTGTCGCTTGAAGTTCTCCTCTACATCGGTGAGGTTGAGCAGATTGCCACGCCGATTAGTCCTACGCGTAATGCAGGCAGAGTGACTGAAAACTCCCATCAGCCCCTGCAGTTTCTCCAAGTTAGCCTTGCTCTTCTGCACACGCTCCGATACACCACATACCAGATCACATGTGCTACAAGCACACAAAGAGTATACTGCATGTTAACATAAGCACCTTCCCATAGTAGACCAATAAGATTACAAATTTAGACTTTTTGGATTCGCTAACAACAATATGAGTATATATCTGTTACCTCTTAATGTAGTCAGCAAGGTTTTCATCACTCCACTGCAGTTCCTTTAACGCTGGCCTTAAGGTACACCTCACTTGCTCCAGCTCAGATTCTACCAAACGCAGCTCAACAGCCAGAATTGTGCTGTGTAGTTTATTATACCACTGAGTGATCTGGAACAGAGTACTTGTGTACTAAACACGCACATACAGATAGAGAGAGGAACAAAAGAAGGTTGAAAGGAGGGAATAAACAAAGCTAATTTCTTGGCACGGTGCAACTTGTTACTCAAACATAAAGGCACAGATGGCCACACGCAGTCTCACCATGTGAAGCCTTTCCCGTTTAGAGTACAGACTCATAGCAGCCTTGGGAATGCCGTGGTTCTTCAGAATTGCAAGATACTTCACTTCCCTCAAAACAGATGTCAACTAAAACATCAACATCATATAACAGTAAACAGTAAACACTAAAAGAAGTTAGCTAAATCTTTAACAAACATATTAAGCAATTTAACTAAGTAACTGACTGACTAGCTAACTAACTAAAGTTTTGATTTCGATTTCTTTATGAAGTTTTTGAATCATCAAAATTTTGGTGAAATGGACTTTCACTGAATGGACAAAAACCTCTCAGGTTGCAAAAAAATAAAAAAAATAAAATCTACATTCGTGTTTCAAAAATGAACAAAACGACATGAGGGTGAGTGATTGAAGATGGTCATTTTTGAGTTTTGAAATTTTGAGTTAAAAAAAAAGTAAAACATATACATGGATAAGTAACTGACTGACTAGCTAACTAACTAAAGTTTTGATTTCGATTTCTTTATGAAGTTTTTGAATCATCAAAATTTTGGTGAAATGGACTTTCACTGAATGGACAAAAACCTCTCAGGTTGCAAAAAAATAAAAATAATAAAATCTACATTCGTGTTTCAAAAATGAACAAAACGACATGAGGGTGAGTGATTGAAGATGGTCATTTTTGAGTTTTGAAATTTTGAGTTAAAAAAAAAGTAAAACATATACATGGATGACATGCATTTAATATTTTAGAAAACGGATTAATTTTACTCGATGCTGATTTTAATGCGAAAAGTCCAAATTAATCACCCCCAAGTCTCTATGACATTCTGGCCTCTAGTTAGCTCACTTAGCCAAATTTAAGAATAATAAAAGTAAAAGGGAAATCTACATTTAGTTAGATAAATATGTGAGTTTGTGCGTGTGTCTTACAGCAGGGTTAAAGTTCAAGCTGTACAGGCTGCTCTCCTCGTCCAATATCAGCAGTGGTTCATTCAGATGTGTGTGGCACACCTCATCCAATCCAACACTCCAATTAGCATAGACTTCCTCATCCATCTGATCCAGAACCTCCAATACACACTCACACACCTGCAACACCTGCTGTGCCTCAGGACTGTCTAACGGCCTAACACATACAGAATGCGGCAGACACTGTCAAAAATGGCACAAGAAGCAATATTTTGTGTATTTGTGTGAGTCTTATAATTATGTTGAGGAGAGCTTGTTTACATATGTGTAAACTGGCTTAGTTTACTACGGTTCGACAGGATCCGTTCTCTGAGTTCTTGGGACCATTTCAGGTTACCAGCAACGGCTGGCATGTTTTTACCAAGGATGGGATAGCCGCTCCTCATCTGCACCGAAACACAAACAAACAACAGCACAAAAGTCTGTAAGTATGCTTTTATCCAAAGCGCCTTGCTAAAGGGCATATTCTGACAAAACAAGATGTTAATTTTGAGTAACTTATATTTAAGACACAACATTAATAGTTACTTTATGTATTTTTGCTCTGCCAACGAAAATCTTTTTTAAAAAGTCGAGGCAGAATTAACCATTACATCTTCACATCATAATGTAGAGGTGTTTTGTTCTTGAATGAATCAGATAATTTGAATGAATAATTCAGTGACTACTTCATAAAGACAAGACAGTCGTTTATCGCCACCTACTGGCGAAACAATAATATCTTAAAACTAAGCTCTGACAGCCCTAAAAACTAGTGATGAGAGAAACGAAAAAGCTTCGAAAATTCTAAACTCCGAACCAATTGAACAAGCAATTTGAACCTTAGCAAATTGAACCTGAATCAATTGAGCTTAGCAAACTGACTCATTATTTCGAAGTGCTCGAAATACGGCAGACTGGCGACACCTGCTGGTCAAAACTCTGTAAATGCAGCTAGGATACGGTCCAAATATGTATAATGATGACTACTTTCACAAACCCATTGCAAATGTTTCATGAAAGTCTAATATAATAAAAACATAATTTAATGTCATTAAATATGTATTCTTTTAAGAACGTGCTTGTTTTGTGTGTTCTTAGGCAGGGATTGGCAAACTATGCCAATTAGAAACAATTAACTATCACTCTCCTTTTTATATTGCACATGCATTTGTATTAAAATACATTAACTTCAGTAAAACTTAACTTTTATTATAAAACTGACCAGCCAAATTATTTACTCGTTCATGGGTTCACCAAGCTGCAAACCAATAGAACACACTCCAAACACCATGATTCAAAAACAAAAAATTCATAAAGCTTTCAAAGCTTCATGAAGCAGGGTTTCAAATTCTAGTTTCCAAAAAAAAAATAAAAAATAAAATAAAAAAATCACAATTTGTAAAGTTGTACCATTTTTTTCCCCACAGACCCCCATCAACTCTTCATAAACCCTAATTTGAAAACCACCGCTTCATTCTCTAATTATTAGTCACACAAACCTTCTCCCTCTGGGTGTCCAGGATGCGCTGACAGAGATTGACCTCCTCCTGGAACATGACCAGCAGCTGAGAGTAGTTTGGAGCAAAAAGCTGGTGAACCCTCGGCCTCTCCAACAAAGTACCAAACATCTGCAGGAGCTACAAACACAGGCTTTCAATGTTAGAGGCTTAGAGACAGGATTTTCGCACACACTGAATTAAATAATGACAATAATAAACCTTGTGTTTTGCTGTCTGTTCATTCATTACTGAGCGTGTGTGTGTGTGTGTGCATGCAAGTGTGTGCATGATACCTTAAAAGCAGACTCTAGGCCTGGGGAGTGTTGGAAGGCCAAGTTTATTACTGTCCCCAGTCTCTGGTCAAAGTCTCTGTTCTGTTCCATGAATCGATTGTAGTCGCACACAAACTCCTAGAAAACACCAGGGAGAATGTGATTGTACAGTATATAAATGTTTGTGAATGTGAGCTCATATAGTCAAATATATGATTTTCTTTCCTTTTTTCCAAAAAAATTGGACTTATTTATTATGTGTAAATTATATTTTAAATATATATAAAATAGAAAACTTATTTAACATGGTAATAATATTTCATAATATTACTCTTTTTACTGTATTTTGGTACTTTCAAAAACAAAAGATCTTGGTTAAATAAAATCTTTGTAGTGTATATTCGTCGCAGATATGGTAAAACCTTCTTGTTGTAGTCGAGTGGGTCATATTTGCTCTCTCTAAGAGTTCTCCAGCTGTCCAGGAACTCATCATTCATGCTGTACACCATATCACTAAGAATCTTCCCTCGAGAGCCACCCAGCTCAATCCGTTCCAGCTTTAAAAAGTCCAGAGCTGAGGCAAACAGCTCCTGAAACAGGGACACACACACAGATTCGGCAGATTATTAGCAAAATGCTTAATAAACTGAACTAGTTAACTTTTTTTTTAATGGTTTGAAGGAAAAAAAAATACAGATTTTCACACTATATCTAATATAACCAAAGACCTACAACGTATGCAATAAAAAAAAAAGAAAAGACAAAGGAAATGACTGAAGCCAAGCCTAATCATTTTGTCCATACATTTTAATTTGAATTCTTAACAACAGATCATCACAAAACAACATTTCAGACTCTTTTCAGAAATTTGTTTCATTTTACAATCTTGTCATGCATGTTCCTTGTGCCAAACGTTTGGATTTGTTGTGAATAGGCCTCTAAAGCCAAGTTAAAGAAAGAAAAATACTAAATGATACACTCATCCGTTTTCAGTGGGGTTGGATTGTGTGCACACACCTCAATCATGCGCAGTCTCTCCATGATGCAATCAATGCGGTGAAACACAAGCTCAGAGGGAAAGTCCCAGGGTTTGACCATAAGTCCTGGTCGGTTGTAGGGCCCAGTGGGTGTCAGTTTGTCCTGGTGCTGCTGGAAACTGCGCTTGAATGCCCAAAACACCTGGATGGCCTTCCGAACCCGGTCCATACCCTCCTCTAACTCCATTTTGAAGAGTTCCTCGGGAATTAGATACACAGAGGCCTATAGAACCACATGCACACATTATACAAACTTTATGCAATCAATCAACCTAATTTAGATCATTTAAACAAATGAGCAAGCACACCTTGTCAATGAGTAGGTTGCAGAACTCTGTGAGTAGTGTGACGATGCGAGGTGGGCGGCAGTAGAAGTGAGAATGTGTCCAGATGAGAGCGAGTGTGTGAAAGAGAGCTGGGATCAGAGGCTCCAGATCAGTGAAGCTCCGCTCCTCGAATGCAGCTATGGGCCGCCGTAAGGTCCTCAAATGCAGGTCTATGTCCTCTGCCTCCATCACGGCTAGAAAATCATCGAGTTGACAGTTCATTTATTGTATATGACATTAGAACCTACAAGCTTTCACTTAACAGCCTAGATTTTAACTACTAGGCCACACTCAAATAAAAAGAATAAAAATATAATGCAGTTTACATCGAAATCATGTTAGAACGAGAGTGTGTCCACATTTCGGATGTGATTACCGTGGTTTACTTTTTGAATAATGTCGTAAAATGAAGCATAATAACTGCTTTTGATCCTCTGCAAAATTTCCAGCACCTGATCAACTTTTGGGTTCTGCAGCTGCACAAATAAACCAGAATTATACATTAAAAACATATAAAATTAGGTTGTGATAAATATATATATATATATATATATA